GTTTAATAATATAACATTTTATAAAAATAATAATTAAGTATTCTGTTAGAACTCAATGATTATCCTAATTATATTTCAGATTTTTTATATTTAAAATAAGATGTTTATTTTGTATTTGATTATGTTTATCTGCAATTAGTTACACGAATTCAGATATGGAGCTTTAATAAGTTGTACCTACGCATAATTTACTTGTAATCTTGAGTTTAAGTAATATGCATTAATAAACAGTACTTTACGCATAAAAAGTGGTTTTTAAGAGTTTTTGTCAGATGATTTATAATGTAGAATATATTTTTTTTATATATAATTTAATTTAAGTTTAATAATAAAACAATTTATTTTTGGAATAATATAATTAATGTTATAAAGATAATAATTAAGTATTCTGTTAGAATTTAATGATTATACTAATTATATTTTAGATTTTTTATATTTAAAATGAGATGTTTATCCTGTATTTGATTGTGTTTATCTGCAGTTAGTTACACGAATTCATATATGAGATGAAATCGTTTAGGGATGAACGGGTTTAAGAGATTTTAAGAGTTTTAGCCAAATATTTTATAATATAGTATAAATAGTTGTATATTAATTAAAACTTGTTAAAAATATGTTTTTTTTTACAAATTATAACATTATAATTTTTCGTCAATATATTTAAAATAATCCAATATTAGATGGTTTTGGATTTAATCATATTATTATATACCTTAAATACTATGATCTCTTTTATATTTTTATAGTTATTTATTTAATTTGTTTGTGTCAATTACTTTTTCATCTTGTATTTTTATCTTGTTAACATATATAATCATATCTTAACTAAAATACATTAAAAATACGTTTATTTTTTTTATAAATTACACTATGCCCAGGGCCCATAAAAATTAGGGGCCCAATTTTTTTTAATATATATAAAATATAGTAGTTTAAATAAATTAGTAAACACAAGACACATAAAAAATTTAGTATCTAATATGACAAGAAAAGATTTTGGTACTACATTAACTATTAAAGACCCAAACATATATGAATTAAATATATTGGAGAAAAAAAATACCTAAAGAGGTTAATTTGTCGTTCATTATATAATATTATTTAATGTTTTTCTAAGTTTTTTTTATCTAAAACCGACGTCTAAAACTACTTGCTTCGAAAACTTTGATATATTCTTCATAATTTATCTCCCATCAACTCTTTTGATTGTTCCATTCTTGCATTAATTCTATTTTTATATTAGAATGTGATAACAAGATCCTGGTTATTACCCAAGGTATTCAATACGTGATTATTTGATTAAATGACTACATGATAAGCATGATAAACTGATATATTTGATACATGCTGATATGCAAATTTGTGCATTTGTTTGGATAAAGGTATATATATATTTATATGTATATATATTTATGTATGCATAAATATGGAAGTATATATATAT